AAGGTGTCCCTCTTTACCAATCTGAAAATCTGGTCACCTTAGTTATAACTGTGATCCAAATGCCACTTCCTAGAAACATCTGTGCAACCCTTACCTATGTCGTGTCTAGCCACAAATGAGTCTCTCTCCCTTTATCCTTCCTCTGCATACTTGGCACAATACTCTCCCACTCCCTTAATGCCTAACTTATCTCTCTGGCACATCTATACACTCTGCACCCACATCGCTGTCTTCAGAAACCACACCAAGTTAAAAACAGTCTGCTTTTTCATGGGCAGCATCTCACCACACATCTAGCAGCAGTTTTTTAAAGGTTTTTTTTTTTTAATAAAGGCATAATAAAACATTTTCTAACTCTTTAGCTCCAAAGGTACATTTGAAAGAATTACCAAGAGTACTTGAAGTCTTTAAACAATAAGAAAGAAAGAAAGAAAGAAAGAAAGAAAGAAAGAAAGAAAGAAAGAAAGATAGAAAGATAGATAGATAGTAAGTAAGTCTCATTGGAAGCTCTGTTAAATTTTTATGTTTTTTTTTTTTCTGGAAAACAATATTGTATTATTAAGGAACTCCCCCCCCCCCCAAATGTACATATGTAGGCTCTCTATTTAAAATGTCAGAAATAATATAATGATTTTCACTACATTTTGTTTTTAATTTCTTCAGAGTTTCTGAAATTTTAAGACAATATATATCTTTTACTTAAAAAAAATAAAGTTAATATCAATCTGCAAGAAATACACGCCTGATTCTTGGACACTGACTGGATGGGTTTATCTTGGCAAGAAGGTTCGCCTTCTTCCTACGGCTGAAAGGAAAGTAACTGACCCAAGGTCACCCAGCTAGATCTGTGCCCAAGGCAGGAGGGTTCTAGCCTGACTCTGGTTTCTAGCCTCTGTTACTAGCCTTATCTCTGAGCCTAGATCAGTTTCTAGCCTGATCCTTTAACCGTTAAACTGGTTTTTATACTGGCTATTTCCTATATTATATAAAGATGCAAATATCACTGCATTTTTTTAAAAGGCATTTTTCAACTACAACTCATATCTTACTCTACCATTTTCCCTAATTTATTTACCACATTTTTAGACCACCAAACTCCCAAATTCTTATCAGTTTAAAAATAGAAATAATAAACAATAAAAACATCCAAATAGAAACATCTATACATTATTTAAAAATATAGAAAATAAATAAATAACAAAGCCAAATTATAGCCCAGCCAAGATGGGATCGTGCCAAAAAAAAAATTCCTCTGGAAGAGCTTAGTTTTCAACTGTTTCTAAAAGGCAGCTGGGTGTCCACTGGGAAGCCAAACCAAAGGACTGGTGTGGCCATAGAAAAGCCGCGCGGCCAAGCCCTGGCCCCACCCCGCTAAAGTGGGAAGCCACTCGGCATTGATTTTTTTGATTCCTGGCAAGGGGTTTGCCCCCTAACTGCTTGCTAGGGAAGAGAATGATTAGCCCAAGATCACCCAGCTGGCTTTGTGCCTAAGGTAGGATTAAAATTCACCATATTCTGGTTTTTAATCTGGTGCCTTAACCAACTGGCTCCCAAATAAAATTGGCCCACCCAGTTTCATTGTGCCAATATGAAGTACTATATTTTTCTTCCGAAATCTGTTTTTGGGTGGGAATTATCATCATCAAATTTACCTTAGTACCTATCTTAGTACTTAGTATTTAGTATTATAAAACTGCAGGTTTCATTCTCAATTTATCCTTGGGTTTATTCAAATGGATTTTGGAATCAAACCTAATTGAAATTGAAAATTTGGGAGGACTTGACAATTCACTTTGAGTAAAAAATACAGATTATAGCCTATCTATCTGCAAGCTTGATGTTCTGTAGAAGTCTAATAAATTCTTCTGATCCTGACCCATTTTAATTCAGAATGTGAATTTAAAACAGAACATTGAAAACTTGGGGGGGGGGGGAAAAAATGCTATAAAAAACCCTACCCCTATCTTTTTTTCTTTCCATTCTATTGTCTCTTGAAGATCAGTTATTTCACTGACAAAACCCTCTTGTTTTTGTTGCAGTTGTCGGATTTCCTAAGATGTAAAACAAGAAGATAGAAATCAGAGAAGATAGTTAATGAGAAGGTGAACACTCAAGGCTGCAACATTCACAAAGAACAATTAAATAAAAGGATGCATGAAATAAAGCCAAATGTCTGTACGTTCAAATGCATGGATTTACATTCAAATCTCAAAATATTTCAAGATAATATACAGTTCTACAGACTTTCCAATTTCCCAATATCTACAGTATCCCCAACAGATGGCCAAACAATACATTAGTGATAAAGCAAATATAAAAGTGATAGCAATAAGTTATCTATTGAAGAGCTCTTTTGCTTTGAAACCCACTGTTTTGTCATGGAACACACCTGAACAATTCTATCCTTCTTCTTCTATACGACAGCCCTTCACATAACTTGAAGACAGCAACATATCTCTTCTATTTTCAGGCTAAATGTACCCAACATCTCAAAGTACACCCCATAAGTTTAATTTTTGTCTTCCAGACCTCCCGTTTGTTCTCCTCTGAATATGTACTAGTTTGTTAATATCCGTCAACAATGCAGGGCTAGCTGTCAGCCCAAGCGGGTGTGCAGGTGGGCGCTCTGCGATTTCCAGCTGTCCAGTGGACTTATCGAAGTCGAAGCAGTCTTGGTGTGTGTGTGTGTGGGGGGGGGCAGTGGGAGAAGAAGGACAACCTTCCGTTGAGTGTATCTGGGTAGCAGCCCATGTCAGAAGACGGAGAAAGCTTTCACAAAAATGGATGGGGAAGAAGACTGTAATGGCCGAACCGTAGAGCTGACAGCTGGCTGATGCAAACAGTGGCAAAGTGGAACAACAGTAGACTGGCTGAAAATTTAGTTCTGACTTCTGCAGAATGAGTGGAAGGAAAGGGGAGCAGTTCTGTGTGAAGACCCTAGTGGATTTAAGAGAAGGAGGGTCTCCAGACAGAAGGAGGGTGGACGTTTCTTCCCCCCCCCCCACCCCCATTACAGAAGCGGCACAGGGAAATTGTGGGGTATCTTTAGGATCCATAAGGATAGAAGACCAAAGGAGAGACAAACTGAAAAAGGAGCTTTGGACTGGAGATTTTTGTGGGATTGTATAAAAGAATTGGATTGTGCTGGGGAAAACTGGATAAAACATAGAGACAAAATGGCTTTCCCCTTTGTTTTTGGACACTGACAATGCATTTTTGGAGCAGAGACAAGACACAAAGGAGACAACTACTGGGCAAAAAGGATATCGCACCAATAATGCAACGTGTGACACACACACACACACACACACACACATGTACATGCACGCAAGAGAGGCGCCCCCCACATTTTTCGATGCTTTTTTCACCCACCCCAGGCTCCAGAGGCTTTATAGGAGCCTGGGAAGGGAGAAAATAGCCTCCCCGCCCCCCAGAGGCCCCCCAGAGGCTTCAGGGACCTTCGGGAGGCTTCCCTGAAGCCTCCAAAGGGCCAAATACAACCCTCCGAGCAAACCAGAAGTTCCAGTTTGCTCATAGGGTGGTTTTTAGTCCTCCGGAGGCTTCTGGAAAGCCTCCTGAAGGTCCCTGAAACCTCCGGAGGGCTTAAACCGACCCTCTGAGCAAACCGGAAGTGACTTCTGGTTTGCTCATAGGGTCCTTTTTAGTCCTCCGAAAGCTTCAGGGATCCTCCTGAAGGTCCCTGAAACCTCCGGAGGGTTTAAATTGACGTTCCCTAACTTCCTGTTTGTGCATAGGGCCGGTTTTTTTGCGCTCCAGAGGCTTCATGGAAGCTCCTGAAGCCTCCGGAAGGCCTCTGGGGGGGGGGGAGGCTTTTTTCACCCTCCCCAGGCTCCTACAAAGCCTCTGGAGCCTGGGGAGGGCAAAAAAAGGCTTTAAAAAAGGCTGAACTGAGCTGACAGGGCAACGCCTCGCGTTCACCATCCCGGGCCTAGGGCAAACAGCTATGGTCCTAATAGCAGAGGCGAAATAGTAGAGGTGAATGAATGGGGGAGAAACCCTGGGGGTGAACAAGAAGCGGCAAAGGGTACAAGGGGAACAGTCACACACACACATACACACAGAGGAATTCACAGAGATCCAGAGCACCCATTTTGATTTTTAAAGTATTGACAAAGTTGAAGAATATCACAAGGAGAATCACTTTTGTCAGTGAATTTTATTCGTGCAGTCTCAAAATACTCGTTTGTGGGTAGGGAGCAAAACGCTACCTTCTGATATAATGACAAAAGTCTGTTATTTACACGCATTTGTGTACTTACAGCAAGCAGTTCTTCTTTTTGTTTCAGAGCCTCTTTGAGTTCCATGAACTGGAATTTCAATGTAGCATGAGCATGTTTTTCCCTCTCAAAATCCTACAAAATGAGCATTTTATAATTAGACAATATTGTGTTGCATCTGTACTCAAAATGCTTTTATCCGGGCATTGTTTTGTTTTTACTCACTCTATATGCTAAGTCACGTATTTTATTAGATTTCTGTTCTACCCCACTCATGAATTTATGCCACTATATGTTCTCTATCATGGCCTAGACATAATCTTTTGCATAGTGAGGCCATACTCATAGGATTTACCTGGAGAAGCATACCCTGGGGATAAGGGAATGGAAATGAATCTCACCTTTATATTTAGTCAACAGTTCCATCAATATTACCATCAAAATAATATTCATTTAGGAAAAGAGTATTTTAACAATTTTTGCCTAAAATCTAGATCTTTCATAGGGTGTTTTCTTCAACCATACAGCTGATAAAGACACTATTGAAGATTTATTACTACTTACTTTGTTTTTTTCTTCAAATTGCCTCTTAGATTCTGCAAGCTGCTCCTCTAGTTCCAATAATGCATCCTGTAGGGTTTCTACTTGGTACATAAAATTTGTTTTCTCATTATCTAATTGAGCATTTGAAACCATAGCTTTCTTATATTTTTCTTCAACTTCATCAGAAGAGTCCTAAAGATAAAGAAAAATTCAAAGGAATATTTTCAATTTATTTATCAGGCCTAAATCTAATAGGTGATGTATCACAGGCAAGACGGACAAACTTTCTTGCAAAGTATGCTATTTGTTCTAGTTTGTTATGGAAGTATCAGAATAGGATATGTCACAAGGTAATGGCTTCCACTTAAAACTTTTCTGAATGATTTCACACTTAATTAACTAAGCTAAACTAAAGCAGCATTTGTATACTCACAAACTAATCATACCAACTGAATTTCAAGGATATGTTAGCATATTAGACATTTAAAATGCAACATAATTTAATTGAGTGATTGAACTTAGTGAAGCATTCTTGACATTGTCTTATATATTTACAAATGCATTGTTTTTTTTTAAAGGAAAAAACCTAAATCCTCTGAACTTTTCCCTTTTACATTTTTTTTTCTTTTCATGATGAGAGCGGCGAGGCTGCCTCACCTGACTGCATGTCACTGTATGTATGTATGTATGTATGTATGTATGTATGTATGTATGTATGTATGTATTTGCCTTCATATTATGTCAACACTGAGGGACAAAAAAGACCATCAGCAAACAGCTTAAATCTACACATATGGAGTAAGGAAAACTGCCTAGAATTAGCTAAGATTGGCAACTAATGCCAAAATAACTTGCCCCAAAAGTTATTTTGATATGTAAGAAACAAGAAGAAAGTCAAGGAAACAATAGGTCCCCTAATGGGAGCAGCAGGTGGCAAGAAGATGACAGGTAGCAGGGAGACAGCAGAACTGCTTAATTCCTTTTCTGTATCTGTCTTGATGCAAAAGGAAGCAACAGCCCAACCTATCAAAAGGCACACAAAGGGAAATAGGAATGTAAAATAGGCAAGAATCTGGCAAGACAATCCCTGTGTTCGCCCTGTATAACTACAAATCACTTGGACCCAACGGTTTACATCCCAGGGAATTGGCACATGTCGTTTCAGAACCAATGAATGTAGTTATTTCAAAGCACAGGGGAAGTATGAGAAGACTGGAAAAAAAGCTAATGTGGTTCCAATCTCCAAGAAACTATAAGCCAATCAGTGGACATCAATATCTGGGAAAACACTGGAAAAGAAAATCAAGTGGTGGATTCATGAGGACCTAGAAATGAATGAGGCAATTACTAGAAGCCAGCATGGGTTTGTTACAATAGATCATGCAAGACAAATCTTATTGCTTTTTTTTAATAAAATGACTAAATTAATAGATCAGGGAAATGCTGAGGACAGAGCATACATGGGCTTTGGTAAGGCTTTGACAAAGTAGACAACAGTCTGCCTCTAGATCAGGTAGAACAATAGCAGTAGACTTATAGCAGTAGACTTATATACCGCTTCATAGGCCTTTCAGGCCTCTCTAAGCGGTTTACAGAGAGTCAGCATATTGCCCCCAACAATCTGGGTCCTCATTTTACCCACCTCGGAAGGATGGAAGGCTGAGTCAACCCTGAGACACTTTTAATGTACTATACAATGTTCCACA